TGAAAATTACTGGCTGGACAGAGGAATTTATGGGTGAAAGAGTAGAATTTGATTTATGAGCAGACTGGCTAGCATGCGGCTACTCGAAGTTTATATTCCTTAGTTTTAGTGTTACCAACTTTTCCCATGTAGCTAGCTCACACTTACGTCTTGTTCACTCCAGAGTACAATAATTGTCTTTGAATAGAATGCAAAGGCATGCACAGCAACTCTCTCTATAAATACATGGGTGGGTTGCTTAGGAACCATTCGAACCAAAGCAGCAACCAAAGCTCAAGTTAAGTAAAGATCGATTAACAAAGCATCAAATGGCCCCTAGAGTTCCCTCAAACACTTCATTGGAGATTATATGCCTCTCTCTACTTTCTATCTGCTGAAGTGTTTGGGGGGACCCTTAGCTAGCTCACACTTCCTAGCTGCTTGCATTCATTGGACTCTTGCAGCATGTGGTCCATGGGCTTTTTATTCTGTATAATTTCAATTTCAACCTACCGACTAAATAAAAAAAACATCATGGAGTTGACAAAATAGAAAGATCCTTCATCCGAGAATCTCCTTATGAAATTCTAGAAGAGGCTCATTCTAGGACCACTTCCATCTTCAGTAAAAATGTCCTCAGTTTCCAACTTTCACCCATTGTCATAAATCCTAGGGTTTCACCCATTGGCATGCATCCTAGGGTGAGTGAGTTAGGGAAGCCACCTCTATGTACTTTTCACTTTTTCCTTTTTCCTTTTTCCTTTTTCCTTTTTCCTTTTTACAAGCAATAATAGGAGAGGGGAAATGAACACTGAAGACATAGGTTGAACTACAAGGCACTTGCGCATTTTGCTCACTAAGATTTTCTTTAGACTTGGCAAAGTTTATTGGTAGTGCCATAAATCAAGTATTTTCACACAAACCTGATTTGCTTTAAGGAGATTCATTAACAAGAATTAACACCCAGCAGATTAAAACTCAAATTAATGTGTTTAAGTATATATCCAGTTGATAAGGTTGCTTTACAAGGGCATGAGGGGTGTGGACCCTGTCTAACCCACATCATGTAATTCTCAAATAGCTGTAATGGCTGTACCAATGTGCACTTCAATGTCTGGCTACTAGTGCCTTAAATAACTGCGTCTAAAATCCAAAACCACACCAGAGACACAGAGGTGGAATTTGGCAAAGCACAATTTGGGAAAAGAGTTTAGAGATGTGGCATTGATGCTGTGGATGAGGAATAAACAAGATCTAGCTAGCTAGGAAGGTCATTACTTTAGTATATTAAACAAGATATAGCTAGCTAGGAAGTCACAATATATATGGTTAAGCTGGGTTTTACTTTATGGTGATCATGGATGTTTTGTTGATGTTATTATCTCTCAATTCAACAACCTGCAACTTTTAATGCTATATCCTATATATGTATGTTGCGCTGGTATCCATGGTGAATTTATTTACTGGCTAAAAAGTTACCACTTACATGATCAGAACAACTTCAAAATTAACCAAGGAACTACAAATTAAGCCTGAAGAGTAAAAAACCAAAGCAAAGCAGTGGACAATATTAAACCATAATGGATCATATATATTTATATATGTAATTCAATTACAAGTTACAATACTATGCATCCAATCCAAGGAGATCTTAAAAGAATGACCAACTTCAAAGTTACATCGAACCAATTAAGCAAAGGTTTTCATCAATCAGTCGGCACCTCAAAGCGGCAACAGGACAGTAGTGACTTTGTCTGAGCCAGTTTACTATGCACTCGCCATGAAACACATGAGAGCATGGCATCCAAGCGACAGTTGTTCCTTCCTCAAACTCATCCATACAAACACTGCAACTCTCACTTTCACTCACACTAATCCTCCTCCTCTTTCTCTCTTCCTCCTCCTTCACATCATCACTTACACTCAGATAATTTCTCCTTATTGACTCTCCCCCTTGACCAACTATAACCTTCTTTAGGACCTTCTTGATGGATGACTCACTTGCCGGCACCATCTTGACCTCGGCTGCCGCCAGTGACTCTCTCATAACGCTAGCCACCAAACATGGCTGGCACCGATACATGCGATGGTCTTTAAGAATACAAACGTGCAGTCCAAATAGCATGCAAGCCTGTTGGGAAACTTTTTGGGGCGAGCTTCGCGACCCCGCTTTACAATCTCATCCACTATATCCCGCACAACACGATCTCTTGTGATCCCGAAAGACAACATCGCCTTAGAAAGAACAAGATACGAATCAAGGGCGGATCTATTACTAGGCTGGAGTGGGCTCCAGCCTAGGGGAAGATTTTTAAATATTAAACATAGTTAAGTTGATTCCTACTCAATAAATATTAGCCCATTACACCAAATAAATATAATAAACTAATAATAGCCTAATTTAAGTAAAGTAAATAATAGCTTTATTTAAAATAAGCACATTCTTGAAGCATATAGGAAATAATAAACATCAATCCAAACCTATATAAGTTTGATTAGAAGTAGAACTCATGTCAAGGCTCTGCCAACTTGACCTATTCTAATCGTATTGATATTGGGCTACACCCACAGAGAGCAAATATCAAAAAAATTCTTCTAGCCACCCAAAACGCCATATTTGAACCTTGAGAGCCTAGAGGAAATAGCTCTCATTCTCTAAAAAATTGTACTAACCTATCTTCAGTGGGTTCTTCAATCTTGGTAAGTTTTTCCCTTTTTTTTTAATTTATATATTTAATTACCAATTTTAATTGTTGTTGTTAAGTTTTTATGATTTAGGGTTTGGGTGAATTTTTTTGGAGATTTTTGATATATGTTTTATTTTTGCAACTTGAATTATTAATTAGCATATATGATTTTTGGTGTATGGTATTTCTTGTTAGGATATCATGTCACATAATGATAATAGACTGGTAAATAGAGGAAAAACTATTTATTCATTTTCAAAAAAAGTGGTAACGATAATAATGATACACCTTCTGCATCTAATGTTGATACTTCAATTTTTGAGAAACTTTCTGAATTCGGATCTCACGTAGTTCAACCTAAATAGTTTGATATCGTAATGTGACTTTGTTTGATTTATAAAATTTTATTTACATTTTTGTTTCATGAGAAAAAAAGCTTATAATATATCTCCTCTATAAAAAAAATTATTTAGCCTAGCCCTATAAAAATTCTTGGATCCGCCATTGATACGAATCCTGGTAGTTCTCTAACAAACTTTGTTCAAGATAGATTGTTTTTTTATGTTGTTCGAGGCATTGATAGATGAATTTTGGACGACTGGTTCCAATATCATCTGGGGAACGAACATCATAGTGACAGGACCCGCCCCAGAATTTCCCCCGAAACCGGGGCGGACCCCGTCTTGGTGCCGACATCACACTGATGCCGGGCCCACTTACTAAAACCCAAGACATTCTACCAAAATTTTGGCAGAGTCTCCCCTGCAAAGTGCTCAAACCCAACAATAAACAACCTGCATAATTTACACCATAATATATCCCAACTGCCAGCATACTTTTAACATACAACAATCCAACATAAAATAGCCTCCGGCCTCAAGTAGTAGCCTAACATGGGCGATAACAGAGCGTCTACAGAATTTGTTTACAACAAACAGTAGAGTAGAAAGAATTTATACAGACCCTAACAACTGACGACAAGCTTGGAGCTCGTGACTTGCTCGAACGCCTTCAGAAGCAACTACTGTCTGGGGGGCGCAAAACAGAAATATGTGAGTGGACAGAAATAAAGTTTCACCTTAAATCAACATAGTAACCCCACCATGTAAAAATAATGCTCTAGCATGCAGTTTCACAATTCAGAAACCAAAAAC